CTAGATTCTTGTTGGTTCAATGTACTTTGATTTGCTAAGAAATTTGAGATTTCTCAAATATAATAATTCATTCTAAAATATGTCAGTTCCATCTATTTCTATGAAAGACATCAGAATGTTATACTTTATTAGCTCAATTAAAAACAAGTGCTATTTTTTCAAGTAAAACAAAATTTCAAATTTTAATGATCGCTTTCAATTTCACCAAAGATGATAGCATTGTAAAATTCGTCAATCCATCTATTTCTATGAAACCCATCAGGACATACTTTTTTTTTTTTTTTGCTCAATTAAAAAAAATCCTAGATTATTCTAAGTAGAACAAAAGATTCAAATTTTAGGGTTCACTTCAATTTTACCAAAGACAATGGCATTCCAACATTTCATAAAAATAAAGATTAATAGAGGGTTTCCTTGGATTTGAAGCATTAACATGATCCATTTCTTAATCGTACATTTTTTTTCATACTTGCCAATATTTTTTAATTATTTTACAATTGGGTACTACATTTCTTCCCCCTTATGTGCACACAAAATAGTAAAATTAAACTGTAACTCAAAATGGTTCACGTGTAATGCATGTGTGTATCAACTTGAGTACATAGATAGATATAAGAGAGAATCAATTTTAATACTAGTAAAACTTCTAAAATTTCAAAGTTGTTAGAGTATCTCCAACCCTTACTTAAATCTAGACTCAAATTTAAATTTGAGTCAAAATAACAAAAAAAACTTCTCCAACCTTAGAATAAAACCTATATCAAATCAAGATTAAATTTATTCTGGACCCAAATTAAGGGAACTCAAATCCTATATCAATTTTTTAATGGTAATTTTTTGTCCTATCCAAACCAAAAAAGACTCTTTCGATGAAACAAGTTCTTGTTTGTTCTGCCTCTATTTTCAAAGCCACTGCCATAACTACCGACCACACCGCCTCTCCCTGCCCCTATATTTTTAGGAATCTTTTTCCTTGCTCTCGATATTTTTAGCAAATTGAGAAATTTGCTTGGATTTGAGAAGAAAATTCATGTTTAAAAGGGAGAGTGTTAAGAAAAATAATATACGTGACTTTTCATGTTTTAGAAGTTATTTTTGTATTTAGTTTTTTGTATTAGTATGTCATCAATTTGCTAGTAGTGGAGGACAAAGTAATTGTGCTAATGGAGGAGTGGAGTTTTTATTATTTTTATTATTACATTGTGTAATGAAGTTATTTTGTATGTATATGTGTTATATATGAGAGAGTATATACATCATATGCAATTCATCTATTTGGGTCTCTCTCTCTCTCTCTACCCTTTTTCTCTCTAATAAACTCTCATTCTCAAAAACTCCCTCCCTCTCTCTGTCCTGTCACTCGAGTCTCGTCTCTCATATGAAATTACTTTAGATGGAAGTTGCTTTAGACGGAATTGAAGGCATGAAATATTGTTAATTGATATTGAGTAGATATTTTAAAAAATTTCTTTACTTTAGACAGAAGTTGCTTTAGATGGTAAAAAACTCACAAATCTACCGGTCAAAAGGGTTGATATTTCTTCTTTTTCTTTTGGTTGTAGAGATTTGAATAAATATTTGAATTTGTTCATTTTAGTGTTCTATACGAAATCAAACTTTTTACTCAAATTTGAGTCATAGATATTTGCTCTTATGTGTGTGTGTGTGTGATAAAATAGTCCTAATCTATAAATTTATATAAATAGATATGAGAGATAAATAAATTTAATACATGAAATAAAACTCCAAAAATTTAGGAGTTATTAGTTTTAAAAATTTTTTTAATTAAATATAAGTATCGGGGTTATTTTACATAATGGAGATCAAAATAAAATTATTCCCAAATAAGTTTTTTGAGTGGACTTAAAGTCCAAATAAGTCCACAAAAAAAAAATTAACTCCTAAATTTTCCTCTTTTTTTAGTGAAAAAGTAAAATTTTGGAACTTTTTTTGCCATAGATCTGTTTGATGTATTGTGGTGCAATTGTAACTGATTGGTGTAATTATTTGTTGTAACCTTAATATAAGGGGGAGAGAAAGAGAGTAATGGTGAGAGAAATTAGGGGGAGAAAATGTGAGATAGAGAGCGAAAATAGGAGAAGAGAGATGAAAAAATTAAATCAAATCTTTACATATTTGAAAAGAAAATAAATTATTAGTGGGAGAGAGAGAGTAACGTAGAGGATAGAGAGAAATAGGGGAGAGAGAGAGTAATGGTGTGAGAAAATAGGGAAGATAGAGAGTGAAAGAATAAAAATTATGCATAATTTAAGGAAGGGTAAATAAGTAATATAAATAAAAGGTAAACTAAATTGTATACCTAATAACAAGAAATTTAAGTAAAAATTAACTTAATAGAGTAAAAAACTTATCAATACACTTTCTCTCAAATAAGTCTTAAAAAATTAACTCACACCAAAAAAACCAAATAAATAATCTTAAAACTTAGAGTTTTAAGATTTTTCCCAAAGAAAATCTATTTAAAAATTCTAAGAATAAATCAATGCAAAGAAATAACAGAATAATCTCCATTTTTGCTTATCTTCAACATTAAACTTCATAATAGGAATTTCATAGTCTATATTTTTGGGGGCGGTGAAATTTCATTGTAGTGAAAGCATGCAGAAAAAAAGAGTGAGAAGAAAACTAGGGGCGTGTTTGGTTTGTTTCCTGAAAACTGTTTTTTGTTCTCAAAATTTTAAAAATATCAAAAACTTGTTTGTTTAACTTTTTTGTTCTCCAATTTTTGAAAAACTTTGACAATTGAGATGTGATTTTAAAGAACAACAAAATGATGTTTTCATTGTTTTCTAAGGAAAAATGAAAACAAGGGAAACAAATTCTCTAAATTAATGAGATTTCCTCTTCGAGTTTCATTGGAGACAAAAAAAAGAAGAGATTGCCTCCATCGCCTCACTGAGCTCCCTTTATCTCTGTTCATTCTTCTTCTCCACCTCTCTCTCTCTCTCTCTCTCTTCGCAACTACAAGGCTTTAAATCTGAAGAATGAATCGTGCATATACACGAAGGCTCATAGTCGAAGTCAAGGCTCTCTTCCTCTCTCTCTCCGTGTCCCTGTTTCTCTTTGTCACAGTTGAAGTCGAGGCTCCAATTGAAGACTTGGAATACTTCGATGGTTGTGGGTTTTAATGATTCGGTGGTGGTTGTGGGTTTTAATGATTCGGTGGTGGTTGTGGGTTTTGGGTGATTCTGGGGTTCGGTGGTGGTTGTGGGTTTCGGGTAGTTCTGGGTTTCGATGGTGGCTGTGGGTTTTTGGGTGGCTCTGGGTTCGGTGGTCGTTTTTTGGGTGGTTTTGGGTCGTTCGGTGGTGGTTTTTTTGGGTGATTTGGTGGTGGTTGTTTTGGGTGGTTTTGGGTTTTTTGGGTGGTTGTGGGTTTTTGGGTGGTGAAAGAGAGAGAGACAAAAAGTTGAAGAGAGAGAGATAGAGAGTTGAAGGGAGAGGTGAGAATTGTGAAATATTGTCTAAACAAATTTTATAACTTTTGTTCTTTAAAATTATTTTCAAAAATATATAACAAAACAGGTTTTGTAATTTAAAATTTTTTAAAAACACTTTTTAAAAACTCTTCTCAAAAATAAATTTTTAGATACTGTTTTTTGAGATGCAAACCAAATAGGCCCTAGTTGTTTTGAACAATGAGATTTATTGGAATTGGGCAATGAGATAAGAGTTTCCCTGTCCAATTTCACACTCCAATTTCTTATTAAACTGTAAATTCACTATAGTAACAATTTTGTAGAGAGAGATATAGATCAAGAAGAAGAGAGGCGCTTTTGGATAATAAAATAGGGATTTCACTGTTATTAGACAATAAAGTTGACATATGACAATGAAAATTCACTTTAGTAAAAAAATTGTGGAGAGAGATAGGGAGTGACAAGAAAGAATAAATTTGGACGATAAAATATTTATTTTAGGGTAAATTTCACCGGCACGCTTATGTATGTATAATCACTAAGACATATTTTTTAAAATATTTATTCTAAAAGAGTAGTGAAAAGTGGATAAAAAATATATTTTTACGAATTTACCCTTAACGGTCATATCCACCCTTCTATTTTATCTCTTCCTCTCTGTCTCACCTTTTTCAAACGTCGGCTTCCACCTAATCACCCCGGGCCCCTCTTCACAGCCATAACCACCCACAAAACCAAAGGCCCACCACCACTTTTTTCCGCCGAAGCTACCACCTCTCAAAGCTTGACCCACCTGAACCAAACTCCCTCAATAAGTGATGGAAGCGACAACAAAACTAGGGTTTCTCCTCTTCACCAATGCCGAGACCATCATTGCCAGTAATACTACAGAGGAACTCCTCTGTCCTCCCAAAATCGGCAATATTAGTACTTTCTACAAAGAGGCAATATATAGTTGACTTAATTGTACTGGAGATCCCCAAAGTATAGAGTTTCTCACATTTTGGTCTTTAATATTTTAATTATATTATTTTGGTCTATATTGAATATATTTTTATGTAGTCCCTCAAGTAGAAAATATTCAAATTGCTAATATTTTTTGATCATAAATTTATCATGTGATACTTCAATATGTGCAAAAAAATAATTTGGATAGTTTTTGTCCAAAATTTGGATAACTCATGATTAAAACTATATAATTTGAGTAACTATTTTACCAAAATTTGGGTAAAAATTTGGTCAATATTTATCCAAATTATTTTTTTAACCTATATTTAGGTATTATTTAACAAGTTTATAATAAGAAATTATTAGTAATCTGTACGCTATTTGCTTGAGAGACAGCATAAAAATATATTCAAAATTTTATAGACTAAAATGATGCAATTAAAGTATTATGGATCAAAATGAAACAAATCTCATATTTTAGGGATCTTCAACGCAATTAATCTTATATCTATCGGATGGATTAAGGGGAGCAATCATGCGGCAAATTTTGGAAAATGCTCTAATTAATGGAAGCAACAACAAGATTATCGATTAATATTTTGATAAACTCGATTGATGGCTTTGGTTTCGGCTCTTCTGAAGTCGAAGCCGGTGTTCATAGTGGAATTGGGTTGAATTTGTTTTTGGTTTTGATTTCTAGTAAAATTTGGAAGTTTTTCTCTTCACAGCCAAGTTCAAGAGAGCTTAAATATGAGTTGATGAGGGAATTGCCGCCTGGTGAACTTATAGTGGTTTCACCTTATGCTTCAGTTGGTGAGCTGAAGGAAGCAGTACAAGGTGCAATGAGGGATACTGACTTTATTATGGAACAGTTTGTGGTACCTGATATTAAAGACATGGAGGAAATGTAGCACCTTGTCGATTGATGCATCTATGTCCACCAGAGGAAGACCCAAATCCGCCTGATGATAGAATCCTTAAAGCTGTTTATCATTTTATGTTTTTCAATTGAATTAGGTAAGATTTAATAATTCAATTTATAACTATGTTGCTCAATTGGTTTGAAAGGTGGTGGTGCTAACATGTTATGGATCCTCAGACCAATATCATTGTCCAATGACACTGAAACTGAACAGTAACATAAAGGGTAAATTTCACCGACAACGATAACTCATTATTGTTAAAAGAAAATTATAGACAGAGATGGAGAGTGGAAGAAAAGGGTTGGTTTTGGACAGTAAAATGTTATTCACAATCCACATTCAATGTATAGCTTACTGAAAATGAATGGTGGTAGTGAAATTTGACGATTTCACTGTCCTGTTTGCTCACTCTCAAAGACTGATCAGGGAAACCCCAATGACCCATTCCAGAACCTGGATAGTTTAATGAAAAAAATATTGTTTAGAGAACTAGTTTCAATACATCAACTGAGAATGAAAGTGCACCATTGGATAATTCTACAAAAAAGGTTCGACTAATTCTTGAGCAAAAAAACCATTTCAGTACCAATCCACTTCTATTGTTGATAAAAAAAAACAAGGAATTAATAAACGTGGTTCTAACACATTAGGGACATCTTAATGGTGAAGGGGAAGATGAGGAGAGAGAAAGAAAAGGAGATAAAGAATATCTAGTATTGTGCCAATAATAGGCTGAATTCCAAGCTTTTTTATCTTGATTGAAGACGATGTGCAGAGAGAGAGAGAGAGAGAGAGAGAGAGCATTTGTCATTTGGTTGCCTTAGTGTTTGAAATAATGATTGAGGTGGCGAAAGTAGTGTCCAATAGGGATATTTTTGTAATAAAATGCTAAAAGCAATGCTACATGGATTTCAAAAGTAAACTTGATAATTTCAACCATTGATTTTATTGTGGGTCCCAGTATTTATTGGAACCCACTACCTATTTAATGGTTGAAATTATCAAGTCTAATTTTTAAGTCTAGTTTTTAAGTTCATCTAGCATTACTCAAATGTTAAATATAAGAACATCTCCAAAGGAGATGTCAAATGTTATATTTTAAATTTAAGTTTGAAGGTCTATGTGACAATTTGATATATTCACTTTACACTCTAACCGATATGTCAAATATTATATGCCAAATTTATGTGTTGTATGAGTAGAAAGTTGAGATATGTTAAGATTTAACATAAGATGTGAGATATTTGACAGAATGTCAAAATTTGGCAAGCAGTCAACATTTGACATAATTGTTGGAGGAGGAGGAGATGTCAAAAAAAGTCGTTAGAATTGTCAAGTTCAAATTTGACAACTCATTTGGAGTTGCTCTTACAATTTTTAACCACTTGTGTGCTCTTTTCAAAAATGCGTCACCAAATAATTACACAAAATTACGACATCAACTCATTTTGTCATTCAGTTTTTTACATAAACCAAAGTGTTACACCATTAAGTATCACGATATAGTTATACCACTTACATTCACCAAATTTGTTCGTCCAAACTTCTTGGTGAATGAAGTTGAGATTTTGCCGCCATCAACTAAGAAACAGTCTAGCAAAAAATGTAGAATAAGGTCAAGGGGAAACTTATTAGGCGAATTTGATGTGGTCATTGTGGACGGTTAGGGAGCCACAGAAAGAAAACTAGTAATGAGCCTATGTGATTGGATTACTATTTTAAATTAATAAATTTTCATTAATTTTTTATTTATTAATATCATGTTATTTTTTCGTCATTGTTGTATTATTTTTAGTCTTTCTATGTGAACATATTACTGTGGAGCTTATAATTTGTGGAACCATGGTGTAACTATTTTCATAGTGAAGCATATTGGTTGTGGAACTTCTTTTTTTTTTTACAATTAGGGAGAAAAAAAAAAGAGTTGTAATGATAAACTCTTTTGTGTATTGGTAGGTCTTGCAGAATGCCATATTAATGCCACAGTCGATACAACAAAGAGTTACACCAAATAGTTACTTAGACATAATGTGATATTAACGTTATAACAAACAATTATACCAATCAGTTGCACCAATTAGTTAACACTTGTCATATAATATACAAAGCAGTTACTCATATGTTCTAATAAACCAAACAAGTACACCAAATAATTACACAAAATTATGAAACCAACTTGTCATTCAGTTGTTTACATAAAACAAAGAGTTACACAATTTAGTATCATGACATGGTTACACAAATTATATACATCAAATTGGGTGAACCAAAAAATCACACCAAAGAGGTATCATACAGGGACACCAATGAATCAATGTATGTTGGGATGACGTTTCATATCAGAATATTCTGTCGCTTGTAAGAATTAGAAGTCCAAAACAGATATATGACTCAAAAGCAATGAATCTCAATAGAGTTACTCCAAACTATTACAATAAACCAACAATTAGTGTAACTATTTATTATTTATTTTTTAGGAATTTCAATCTTACATATATACATTCATCATAAAATTTTTGAGGTCTCTTATTTTCCTGTTACAAAACATGGATTTTTCATTTGGATTTTATCAAGAGAAAAACTGAACCAAAAAAAATCATACTATTAAGCAATTCTGACGAAGGGAAAACTCCGGCGACACCTTTACTAAAACTCCGGTGATTTTGCTTCAATTTTCCTCCTCCAAAACCCTATGTTTCGTTACAGTTGAGTATTTTTTTGATTTGTTCTTCTTGAAAGGAAGGTAAATCCTGAATTTTTAGTTATAGTGGAACAATAGATGATAATTTTCAAATTCAAACCCTCTTTGCAAGTAGAAGATTGTGTGCCAGATTCCTCCTCCTAAATTGATGCTTCGTGTTCTACTATATTTAGGGTCAAATAAGTTTGTTTAATATATTTTATCTTAAGTAAGTCTAAATTTTTGTACCAGCTTTCGTTTTTCCCTATTTATTTTGTTGGTGCTCATTTTGAGAACCCTAGTTTTTTGCTGTAGAAATTTGCAGAACTTTCTTTCTGGGTTTTTAGATTTGGATATGGATGATTCAAGTTTTTGGGTGATTTGAATTTGAAATTTTTTTACAGAATATCAGTTAGGGCCTTTTGATTTTGATATGTTTGATTCATAATTTTTTTTTTTTTGTGTGGAAGATTATCGACTTTAGGTTCATGTAGGCGACAATTTGTTGATCATGTTAGTTTAAATAATTGTTTCTTCATAAGGGTAATTTTTTCTTTTTAATAAAAAGTGTTCTTCTAAACCCAAAAACTGTCAACTTGGATCTATTGACCTATGAATTCTTTTTTGTGGACTTCTAATCACATTTCTTCTATTTTTGTTTAACATGGAGAAGTTACAAGCGATGTCCACATGCGATGTACATAATTTATAATTTCTTTTCACTACCCTCGCTCCGATCGACCTCTACCCTAATATTACTCGACAATTACTTATTAATGTTTTGAAAATATTTTTCATAAAAAATTTAAATGTGAATTAGGCAAGAAAGATGGTGAGAGTAGTTACATGGGCCTCATGGAATGATTTAATTGGAGAAGAACTATGTATTTCTATTAATTAATTCAAAATTAAGAGAATTTAATATTTGCGGAGGAAATATTTGTCAAACACTTTCTCTTATAAATTGATTGTTATAGTATATAATATAAAAATATAGATTTAATTAGTACCCTTTTTTGTGAGAATAACACTGCGTGTTGTTTAGGGAGAGCTACAGAGGAGTTGTGTATTGAGTAAAAAACAACACCATATGCTGTTAGTTAAAACCATCACATTTGAATAAGTTTGCATAGTAAAATTTTTACCTGAAACCAAGTCGTTCAGTAGAAATTGAAGAAGTTAAACCGACAAAAAAATTTCCTAGAAAACAAACACTATGTGCAACTAAACAAAACATGTTTGCAACCCCATTCTATCTTGTACAAATCCCTAGTTCTCAACACTATCTTGCACAATTAAGATCTAGAACATCAAGACTCATTGACTATGACGTTGGCAATGGTGAACATCGACTTCGACATAAATCTCTGTTTCAACATCAAGACTTTTTTTGAACATCAAAGACTTGGGAAGACTCTGGAACGACAACCCAACCTCAAATAGCATGACAACGAATGAAGAAATGGAAGGTCGACACCATTTGGAATTAACCACGTCCAGGCCTCCTTGACAAAGAAGGACATTCCGATCGACAAGTGTAATAACTATAGCTCTTACGTTGTTATTAGAGGTTTAACCCTGTTGAGAAGCATCACTATGCCATGTCAATGCACTTCTAGAAGTACCTACCACGTCACCCCTAGGGAATGTAGTCTCTAACGGCTCGATATTCCCTCAACAACATACCCCAATATTCTCCCCACACAAATTGTAACAAACTGGGAGGGTCACATGATGATGAGCGGGGGACCACCCCCTTGTGAATGTGTGTATATATATCTTCATAGGCCTTCTCCATAAATAGCATGAGAAAATATTGTCGCAAATCTTCTTCCCCAAGTAATACAGAGACCCCTAAGGAGAAAGAGACTTCATTAGAATGGACTAGCCAAACTTCAATGCTGGTGAACCACTATGATCCGTGTGACCCCCATCGTTTATTTATCTATTTTGCAATACTCACCATCTCATTCTAAAGCCTTAAGCTCTTCAGCTTAAGATCACTCGCTCAATTACTTCTCTAATTTAGAATCCTCACGCTTACAAATTCAAACATCATCAGTTTGTGTCGTTTGTAGTAACTGATTTCTTTATTTCCCTTAAAACGATATATTCTATTACTTGATTGTTAGAACTCGAAGCATGAGTTAGATTCTAGAGAACAATCAGAGGCTACCTCCTCCCTCACAGCCAATGAACTACCAGGCAAAGAATCTAGAAACCGTGAATGATCAAGAGACCTACCAGGAGACTCTCCTCTTGTGAAATTCGGGAAAATTAAAACTGAATTAAAAAGGATAAAACGGTA